TTCATAAACCCATGCTGACTGGGCCTGATCACCTGGTTGTCCTGTACATGCCGCGTGATGGCACTCAAGATGATCTGCTCCATAAATCTTCCCCAGCACTGAGGTCAGACTGGCAGGCCTGTAGTTCCCCGGATCCTCCTTCCGGCCCTTCTTGTAGATGGGCGTCACATTTGCTAACCTCCAGTCAACTGGGACTTCCTCGTTAGCCAGCACTGCTGATAAACGATGGAAAGTGGCTTGGTGAGCACTTCTGCCAGCTCCCTCAGTACCCTTGGGTGGATCCCATGGGGCCCATAGACTTGTTTGTGTCTAAGTGGTGTAGCAGGTCACTAACCATTTTCCCTTGGATTATGGGGGCTTCATTCTGCTCCCCATCCCTGTATTCCAGCTCAGGGGGCTGGGTACCCTGAGAACAACTGGTTTTACTATTAATGACTGAGGCAAAGAAGGCATTAAGTACCTCAGCCTTTTCTTCATCCTTTGTCACGATGTTTCCCGCTGCATCCAATAATGGATGGAGATTCTCCTTAGCCCTCCTTTTGTTGCTAATGTATTTATAGAAACATTTTGTCTTTTACAGCAGTAGCCAGATATAATGATATTTGGGGGAAAAAAGCAACATTAACTACCTTTCTTTCTTCCATGAAATAGGTGTTCCTGTCATCCACTGCAACTGAGTACAGCTCTCTTACTATTGAACTAAACAAACCCATAAAGAATGACTTGGTCCTTGACCAAACCCAAGAAAATCTGTATGTGATGACCACAGACAAGGTAATATGTCCTGCTTGCATTAAGGACCACATCTGCTTTCACTTTCTCTGCAACTTCACCTGAGATTTGTACGTTTCTCAGTCGTTCCTGGAAGTTGCCCCATTTGGCGACTGTGTGTATGAAGACCTTCCTCAAGTCCGAGCTGATGGACTTGATTGTTGTGACTTGGAGAATTGTTATATCCTTGATGCGTAGCGATTGGGAATGGGAAGTGAGTTCACCTCTAAAGCTCTCTTAAGGGGTCTGTGAGAAGGATGAAGTTGAGATGTTTGGCACCAGCACACCATGGGGTCAGGCAGCCCTCGCACTCGGTGTGGTGTCTGTGGAGTATTGGTGGATGCTTTAGCTGCCATCAGTCCTTTTCAAGAGTACTTCAGGATTTAGGATGCTGGCACCTGACATGATAGCATTTACACATTTGTAAAGCTGCCAGGAGTTTTGGGGGTCTTGCTGTCAAAAACTAAGAAGCAACGGAGAGAATTACAACTTTGGGAAACACTTTTGGTCGAGCTTCTGCTAGAACCGAGCGAGTGCAGCAGGAAAGGTCAGACCTTGCTACAAAAGGCACAGGCAGTGTCTTTTAGGTTCCCCTTCTCTTCCCCAGTCTCTTCTAGGTTCCAACCTGTGCTGGCAGGTGAGGCACAGTGGAGGTTTGTAAAGAAAGGAAGAAAAAAAAGCAAGTAGGACACGAGAGGGATGCCAGATTTCTCCACCTCCAGCTGTAACCCTCCTCTGACACTTCTCCAGGACGGGGTGGGTGACAGGCTGCGACCATCGGCAGCACTGACAACGACACAGAATGGGACGGCAGCAGTAACACGGGGAGAATGAGGGGGGCTGTGAAAGGAGAGTATTTGGGGAAAACAGTGCGAGAAGAATGTTCTTTCTCTATTTTGTAAAAGGACTAATATAAATGCCTGCTGCGGGAATGTTATATTCTAGCTGAAGGTTTTCAGGCTAGAAACCACATTGGAAAAAGTGCCATTTAAGTGACTGATAAAGCATTTAATAATATGACAGTGTGTGAGAGACGTTACTTCATTTTTTGGGAGGTAGTTGATACTTCTCATTTGGCTTCTGTTGAGATTTGGAACAGAACTCCAAACTTCAACGTTGTCCATAAAAGCCTGGGCAGCCTGGCACCCTGTTTGACAAGCTGGGACGTTGCTTAAAAGCCGTGAGGTCCCCACCAGGCTGTGGTGTGAGCTGCTGAGCAGTGTAAGGAGTGGCAGCAACCTTGAAGGAAGACAAGTTTTCTGGTAACAGTCTGCTTGAACTGGTAGAATTTAGGAAGACCACAGACAAATTTTTCAGAGAAAATTTGCAAAAAAAAATTCTGTCTTTACAAAATGTTTAAATTTAGAAAGCAGCAAATTTCTGCCAAAGAAAGGATTTCAGTTTAATCTTTTCCAAGTAGTTCTCATAGACGCTGCTGTTTCTGAATAATGCGAATAATAGTTTTCTTCTACAAAGCCTGTTCAGCTTAAATATGAATAACTAAAGTTGGGAGCTCTGTAATGGCATTGCATTACTGTCATTTCCAGGAGTTAATTTCAATGAGCAGTCCCACCCACTTTTAGAAGCAGATAGACAGGAGGAGAATGGAGGCCTTCAGAGCTGGGAGAGACGAAGCAATGGGAGAAGAATAAAAGCTGAAACGTGCACTTCTGGGTTAAGCACACCTGGGAGTTATGGGAATGGAGATATCAGAACCCTGCCCTGGGAGTTAAAATGGTTTAGAGTTATTTAAAATAAGGTAAACAATAAAGGGCAGGCTAGCTGTGCTGATAGGCATGCTTAATGCTAAGCTACTTGGCAGATGAAGCCTGCCTCAGCATTTGGAAATGAATTGCTTGGGCTCTGTAAGCACTTGAGCAAAGTCAAAGTGATGATGTGGTGGGTGATAACTTGAAGCAGCCTTTAAAAAGAAATCAGATCGAGAGAAATACAGGGCAGAACGATACAGAGGTTAAGAGTCATAGTGAGAAATAAGCTCTTGCTTTCCAGTTTCACTTCTCCTCCCCCTTCTCCTCCCAGCTTCTGCTGCTGTGTCAATAGCAGTGGATGGCTTGGAGCAAATGCTTTCAGAAGTCATCCCCCTCCTCCCCGCTTTGCTCCCAGAGCTTAGACGGAGAGCAGGAGAAACCCCTCACAGCTTCTTGGGGGACTTGAAAGGAGCGTACCACCTCTGCCATGCTCACGCTGGTTCGTTACAAGTGAACATCACTGGTAGGATCCCAGATTCCTTATTCCTATTGGGAGGAAAGCAGAAGCCTGTGGCTGTCACTTACCACGATCACTAGCTTGTTTGCTTGTTTTAGCTTTTACCAGTCTCTGTGATTAAGACCGCCAATTAGAAAATCTCTAAAATTAGTTTCTCTGCATTTTGAAGCTGGCTGTAAATGGAGCTGCTATTGTTTTTAAATCCATTAAGGTTACACAAAACTGTAGAGACGGCAATCTCTAGGGCTTGTTTCTGCCTGCCAGAATTATGAAATAAATACTTTGTCATAAAAAAAGCCATTCACTGGATATTAAATTAGTCATGGGTACCAGTTAGTGAAACAGAGTGCCAGTAACTCAGCTCCAGTTAGGTAAGAATCTGAGGAAGAAGAGAATGCTGAAAAGGTAACCTCTGTATTAATAAATGCAAGAAAACTACCCAATATTGACATTTTCCTTAACTGAGTCAGACTGAACTCTCCGAATGTGAAAGAAAAGGCCAAACTCAGACTTTCAAAGTAGCTTTGTAATTGCCAGTTGTTTCAAATGAGAGGATAAGGTAGAAAAAAGAAAGCTTACTTCTCAGAGTTACTGTTGCTAGACTTTTTGCGCTCTTTAAAAGTAAAACATAGTCATCAACAGGAAGACATATGTCCCGTTCCTCTCTTGCATCATTTCAGCAGCATAACTAAAAGGAATGGTTGTGTGCTGGCTCCTTTTTCTGTGCACCAAAGAAAGACAAAATTGTTTATTCTCAGCACCAAAGGAAATCAAAACCAGAAGCCATATATTTACTGGGGGACTGAGACATGAGAACTGATGATGCTCTTTTCCCTGCTGCTTCCTGTCATAATTATTTCCATTTTCTTTCATGAATGTATTGCATGATGGAGGGTTATGCGTGGAGAAGTGCAGTAACCTGAAGCACCTTGGCTCTCTCACACTTGCAGACTTTCTGAGAGGCCTTCTGGCTAAAAGTGCCACTGACGGTCACATTTCCAAACGATTTCATCTCCATGCTAGCAATATGGAGGGGAGGATATTCAGTTTAAAAAAATCATCTAGCCAGTACCAAGTTACCCTTTCAAAAGTGTTTGTCCGGCAGTAGCTGTTACTTGAATTCAGAGAGCAGTTCATGCAGTTGCTCTTCTGCAGTGGCTGCTGTAATGCAGATTTCCAGAAGTAATGTAACTGGAGGGACTGAAAAGCTCAATTTTTGGAGACTTGCTTATGGTTCTTGAGTATAACAATGTCCTACATTACTTTAGAGAGAGATTAGAGAATATTGGAGAGAAAAAGAGCAGGAAAAGTGTGTAAATTTGGACTTTGTTAAGGGGGGATAACCACATTCTGGTTTTGTATGGATTTTCTTAAAATCAAACTGAGCTCTGATCATAATGATACAGGGTGAAGTCTTCTGCTGCCACAGGCAATGGCACTGTACAGTCCTGCCCACAAACATTCCCGTCTCCTTGTGCCTTCTTGAGATCCCTTACGGTTTGCCTTACTTTCGGTTCTCCAGGTGCATCGGCTACCTGTGCAGGACTGCCACAAATATTCGGACTGTGAGAAGTGTACTCAGGCGAGGGATCCGTACTGCGGCTGGTGTGTGAGAGAGGGCAGGTGAGTGCTGCTGGTGTTTTCTCAGGTGCAGGCAGGGGAAGAGCTCAAATTTTGACGCGTGCTGTGTGTTACTGCTCAGCATAGTGATCCTGGCTTTTTGTACTCAGCCTTACGCTCCTGATAGTGATATAATTTTATCACGCAGACATTGATACCAATCTTCTGTGCACACGAATAAGTCCCCGTTGACTTCTGCAGATTTGATTAGTTTGGGAAAATGTATACTTTTCTACTGGTACTGAAAATCAGTATACATATTCTAACTGCATGTTTTATCGTTCTCTGAACTGTACAGTCAAATGTTCTTCCAGAAATTAAAAGAGTGCTCCCTATTTAAAATTCAGAAAATATAGCATATATTTTAAGTAGAGCAGGAAAGTGTAAAACAGAGTATAAAAGAAAAACTATTCATGTCTGAAATAAAGTATATAGCTCAAATGCCGTTTTCATATAAATGTCATCTATCAAGATGTGTAGCTACACTGAACCCTCACCTAACTGTAGGAGAGCAGAAAGTGGCATTTGGCTGGCTATCTGCAGAGGTTAACTGAGTTAATATTCAAACACATGTAAACTAGGACAGCACTGAACAGTTCTGGAATGTCTCTTCTTTGCAGTCTTCATTGATTGGAGTGTCGAGAGGGTCCTGCAGCTCTCTTTTTGACTACTAAGTTAATTAACCCCTTGGCATGAGCAATTGGGAATTCGTGATTCTAAGTACTCACTGTTGGAACAAAGGGGCTATTTAATTATAGTATGCAGATGAATTTCAGGCTTCTAGCTTCCTGTCTGAAAATGTGAACTATCATATTAAGTTACCTATCAGCCTGATGTGTAGCATAATATGGAGCACTGCAGAGAAACTTATGCGGTGCGTGCAGATTTATGTAATATACTGTAACTCTTCCAGGCTGGGTTTCAGTTGCTGTGGATGAAACCTGGGGATTTGGAATATACACCTCGAACTCCTCCTGGACTGCTGGGAGTTGAAGGCCATGTCATATATCATAAAAAAGGCAATTTTCTCTAGATTTCCCTTCAGGTTTCTCGTGTGACCACTGACCTCAATATCTCAAAGTATTAATGGTCTCTGAGAAGAGGCAAACATGAATTTTTGCATTTGTTAGTATTTATTTCCAATGATGAAAAAAAAGTGTTTAATTTCTCATGTTTTTCTCACCTGCAGCAAGTTCTGTCTCATGATCACACACAGCACTTAATAGTGTGTTTAGGGATATGTTATATGAATGTAGACTCTGTATGTAAATCATATCTTTAAGGGTAGGGTTGACAGAACTGTGCAGCAACTGCACTGTGTTAAAGCCTCTGACAAGTTACTAGTCTTCTGCTACAGCAGCCAGAGATCCTACAGCATTTTCTCCTAAACTTTGCCCAGAATGGAAAGAATACGCATGAGATTGTCCCCACACGCACACTTCAGCAGGCTTTTGTAGCCACATATGCAGCTCCTGCACTGCAGCATCTCTTCTTTCTGTCCTTCCTGTGAGCTGGGAAAATCTCCCAGTATTTTTGGTGAGGCTGCACAACTGCTGTTGTCTTCCTGTAATGGTAACGGTGCCCTGCCAGAGAAAGGTCTTAAATAGTGGCAGAAGTTAATGAAAACATTCACTGCAAAAGTAACATTTCTAGTGCTACAGTGTCACAGGAGCTCTCCACAAGCCTGTGTGCCCCTGGCAATACTCCTCTATTGCATTTGTACTCTAATGCATTAGGTGTCTTTACTGGCAACAGATAGCTGTCTGCCACTTGACCTGCAGAATGCCCACTCATTCAGGTGTTTGTTACATATTACAATGAAGAAGGCTCCATTGCGTGATGGCTCCTGTGCTAAATGTGTATGGATTTGGGTTGTCTAATCCAAGGGGGTGTCCAAAATATTATAGGTATATGTTTCCCCACTTGCTTTTGTCGTCTCAAACCATCAATACTTATTCCTCCACTTATTCTATTAAAAGTTCTCTATTAGCAACCTGAATAGTCAGTATTAAAGCAAATTCCCAGTCATCTTGTGTTGTAATTTCAGTCTCTAATCCTGAAATTGTTGCGTAGTTCAGAGAAAGCAGAGTCCAGCTATAATATTGCTTTGCTTTGGTTTTTGTTCCTGTTCTGTCAGGTGCACAAAGAAGGCAGACTGTGGAACAGCTGATAAGGAGAACCACTGGTTGTGGAGCCCAGGTGGCACGTGCATGACTATCATTAGTGCAGACCCTCTAAATATGAGTCGCAAAGCCCCTGCAAAGGTATGACTACATGTTCTTAAAGCACATTGATGTGACTACCAGGAAGATGAATATCTGCATTTCTTTATGCACAGTGGTGACTAGGAATAGGATAGTGGTTTGGATATCTCAGTCTCTGGCATTTCGCACAGTGCTCTGTCTTGCCTGCTATTTTTGCAGGTTGCAGTTCATGTTTTATTCTAAGAAATGCTGTTTTTGACCTTCTCTGTAAACCAAAATGATGCACTAGTATGGATGATAAAACACTTACACTTATCTGAATATTATGAAAGTGTTGCACAATGTTGTATAACCCATAAAAAGTAATTGATAGCAGAGATTCCATGCTGCCCTTTCAGCTTACTTGAGCATAAACTTAAGTAAGCAGTGAAGCCATAAGCTGTTGCTTTAAAATCAGCAGTGGATTTGCCTACACAGCGAAGTCTGGGTACGCAGAGAAGCTGCAGAATGACTCTGTGGCAACAAAACTGAGTGCTCAGAGTGTGACCAGGGTGTCATAGCTTGCTCTAACTCCAAATGGAGCATGCCAGTGCAGACTGAGGGCTTCCTGGGGGTGCTCAGCAAGTAAAATCAGTAAAATGGCTTTTAATCCCTCATAATCAGAAAGAAAGAGACTTTAATTAAAGTCAGTTTAATTCCATTCCTAAATGATGTAAACAGCATTGTGTTAAGGCCGTTTCTATGTTGAATAAAAATGTTAGTAGAGTGTAACTAGTCCACTTAAAATCCACACCTTCTTTTAGTTCAGATCTTGTCAACTTGTGTTGACAAGTATCTGGTGTCTCACATCAGCATCTGAGGCCAAAATACCTAAAAACCAAAACCAAACCCAACTTCAGATGAGCGTTTACATGCTGCATGTATACTGTCATTAATGCCGCTGTCTCCTCATGATTCCTTTACTCACCAAACAACATTGCAGCTCATAGCATAGTGGACCGGTTTCAGTGTGAAAGGGATGATTGTCATTTCTACTGGCAATACAAAATGGAAAAAGTTAAACTGTATAATTAACACACCTGAAGCATTAAATCAAGGACAGCATCCAAAATTTCATTTCATTTTTTTCTTCTTTCCTTGCAAAGTTTTCCCATTTTATTTAGCTTTTAGTTTCTCACATGCACTCTGTATTGATAATTTCCTCAAGGAAGTTAAGATCTCATCGTTACTTTTTCAGAAATCCTTTTTCAGCAGTAATGATAAATCTCAGTGGGTTTCTTGCATGTACATTGAGTCTTGAGGAAGCCACTTTTCTGTTCAGCCCTTTTGAACTCCAGCTTTTCCAGCCCATCCAGCCTTGGTTTCATTATTCATTAGTAACATCTAAGGTTAATGTAATTTTAATTAAATTTGTCGGGATTTAAGTGTTAACCACTCTGTTTACTGTTGCTAAACTGGATGCTGAGGACAAGAATAAAAGGCTTTGGGTGTGTCTGTACAGACATTTTTGTTCTGATCTAATGCATTGACAGGACAAGAGGTTTTCCTACCAGTCTAATTCAACATAGACCAAGCCTGGAAAAATTGGTAGAGGTATAAGAAGAAAAGATTAGCAAATGGGAAGAAATAAAAATTGAAAAGGAGAACCATCTTCTGTGATACTAGCCAAAATACCACCACTGGCCAAAAAAAAAAGAGCAGTTGAAATTCTCTGACCATAAATCTTAATGGGTCTTTGTTCACTTCTTTAAAATATTTTACCCTTTTAAAATTTCATTTCCAGGTGGAACTGACTGTAAGTCCATTGCCAACTTTGACTGAGAGTGACCAGGTTTTGTGTACATTTGGTGAAACAACCCATTACGCTCAATTAAAAAAAGGGGTTATTATCTGTGATCCGCCCGATATAATTCCTCCAACACCAAAAGGTCAAGGTAAAGAAATTTTGCTACCCTCCATGTATAATAAGAGGAAAGAACATAGCCTGCTGCTTCTAATGTGATGCTCTTATATGAGCTGCTTCCAAGTTTTTTTTAGCTCTTCCAGTTCCTTTCCCCAAATAGCCTATTGCTGAACTTTGTCCGTTCAAACATTTGGAAAAAAAAAGGTTTGCTCAAACTTCTTCCATTGTTGTATTTACAAGCTGTAGCATTCCCAGTGTTTCTACCAGGAACTTGAAACAGGAGCTTGGCAGAGGTCTAGACACAGAGCCAGGGAGGTGCTATTCTGTGTCCCAAACAAACAAAACCCAGCTTCTCTAATCTTACCCTAATCACTCCAAGTTGTGGGGCCAGAAGAACTGCATATGCTCTTCAGATGTGAAGTTTTTAATCTCTGATGTCTTAGTTTTGTTCTAGTCAACTGTAGTTCAGTGGCTTGTTTTCTAGTCCATGTCACAAGGCTGTCCTTTCTCTCATAAAGCCTTCTGCCACTTCTACTATGTGCCATCCAGCTTCTGCAATAGTAAGTCCAGTGGAAAAATATGTGATCATATAATTAAAGACTGTATCATTGTTCTGAACCACTGATTATATGCTTACAGTCTGTTGCCAACCATAATTCTTGTGCTATTTCCTAGATAGTGCTTTATGCACGCTTAAAGTTCATACATCTTGATGCATAAACACATGGAATAAAACTAGTTATACAGCACTGTTTATTATGTATCAAGTTTAAAAAACAAAGGAAAAAAACAAAAAAAAACCAAAAAACAGGTGCTCTTGCAGCTTGCAGAGGTACCCCTGAGTGTAACCCTTTTATATGTATCACAACAGCTTGTGAATTGTCAGAGCAGTACTTGGAAGCACTTTTTAAGAATAGTTTCAATTCTCTTAAGGCTGAAACAGGTCAAAATCCAGTTTTAGTTGCAGGAAGAGTAATGATGTTAAAATCTCACTCCTAAAACTAGCTGGGGTGTGTCACGGTATCAGATTATGCTAAGTGTTAAAGCAGCACTCCATTATTTAGGGCCAATTCACATTCCCTAAATATTTTGTAAAGCAGGACATAAAGCAACGGGGTTGATAAACATGACATCTTGATGTCTTCTGGCGTAAAATGTGAGACTAGAAACCTGTCAGGGATGGCATTAGAGTAACTAAGTCACCTAGAAATAATACGCCTCTCTGAGTTGGTTAGACAGGGATCCATCTGAAAGGATGTTCAAAAGTAATATAAGGATGCTCAGAAGCTAGGCAGACACTTCAGCAGAAGGCAGGCAGTTATGAACACAGGCAGTGGTTCCTGGCAGCATGTGACAAAAAGTCCTGAGCCATCCACTTACTGTTAAGTAACCCTATTGAGTTTGGAAAAGTCTGGGTTACTTTAGTTGCGGTTGGTTCCAAAGGGAATAGGACATTTCTAGAGAGGCAGGATGCTTTTTCACAATCTCGTCGTTAGGAAATCCCCTGGCATTCCTACCAGTCTGAAATATTCAAGGGGACCCAGTGCAGGCAAAGGTGATTCCAGCCAAGCAGCTTCTTCAAAGAACCTGTTCAAGGAAAGCAGAGTTTGAAATTGCCCAATAGCTTGTGAAATAGCTTATCATAAGGGCTTAATGGTTTCTGCAAAAGGTATTTCAAACAGCTTTGCTGAGGAAAGCACCCATTTCTGACGATAAATTTTCCACTCTTAGTTCAGTAATGATCCAGACAAGAAGTACATTTGTGGAGAAACCATGTACAGCAAACTGAAGATCACAAGTGCCTGTGGTAACTTAGCGTTGCAGGCACTGTTGGGCATTAACCACAAAGATCACTTGCTTTAATTCACATGACAATGACAGTTTTAATCCACAAATGAAACAAGTAATTTTACATGCAGACATATTAATATTTAAGAAAATGTTTTATTTAAAATGACTGTTCTCGTGGCAGTTTTCATCTGTGTTCAATTACCTCCTTATTCAATTTTCCTTATTCTTCTAGACTCTTTAAAATTCTAGCATGATGATAGCACCTCTGAGAAACACTTCCGTAAAACAAAGCTATTCTATAATTTTGCTTCTTCCCTTTATCCCATCTCTGTTTTTCTTCTGACAACCATGTGCTGAAAAATCTGCAAAGCTTAAAAAGACAAAACAGAGCTTATAAACCTGAACCATAACAGGTCATGAGATCCAGAGTGTCAACAATATAGTTAAATATTTGCTTATGTCCTGTAAAATAATAAAAGTATTATCATTGTATCATTCGGCTCAAGAGCTAAAGAATTCAACAATCACTTAGATAATTTTTTTTCTTTTGTGATAGATCATGTTTCAGTTCCACTTCAGTTAACCTTTGGAAAGAACAAGATATTTTTTGCATCACATACTTACCCTTTTTATGACTGTGAAGAAGCAATGAATCTTTTTGAAAATCAGCCGTAAGTATTTCAGCTTCTTAACTTAGGTGTTTAGATCCTGTAGCATGGTGTTTCAGGTAACTGGCAGCTGAGTTACTCAATCATTTCATAATTAAGCCTTTGGCACTCTCAAAATTTGCCAGGGTCCAAATCCTTTTTCTTACATTTAATGGAGTTGAAAAACGGTTGAAGGGCTCCAGATGAGCTGGTAACATAAACCATGTGGAATGGGAATTTTCATGGCACGTATAATTAAAGGCCAGTTCATTGGATTGCCATTGCAGGTGAGCTCCGTGGACATGTGCTTACCTATTTGCTCCCTCAAATGTTAGATTGTTGCTTTGGGTTGCAATGCGTTCAAACAGGACGATCAAAGCTGACCCTGCCCCCGTCATCTGCCCTGCCCGAGATGTTGCTGCCCCAGAGAAGGCACAGCCAACCCAAACCCCACTTTGTTCCATCTTATGCATGAAGGTTGATCTAGATCATTTCCAGTCCTCTCAGACTTGAATCTCAAAGTTTGTGCGAGATGCTGTGGATTTCTGATCCTTGTTCAAATATTTAAGGGAGAAAATAGCTTTTTGGGGTTCTTGAACTGTTCTTACTATGAAGTTTTCAGCTTAATATAGTAAGGACACTGTAACAGATTGATCTACCTTCCATGAATAAAGATGGAATTTCATGTACTTTTTTTGTCAATGGGGGAAAAAGCCTGACAGTTTGTCGTGACTATCATGTTATATTTGTAGATGCTATTCCTGTGCAAGCAATAGATGGAATTGCCAGTGGGACTGGAAGAGACATATCTGTGAAGAGTCCTCTTCAATACAGGATGTGATTAAACAAAATATGGTAATGTTTAAAAATAAGATTATTAAGTTTTTATTAGAACACTTCAATATTTTCTTTGCTTTTTTCTCTCATACCAGTTGGTTGAATTAGAGATTTAAAAATGATTCTAAAGTTAACTCCAGAAGTGTAAGATTTTTCTTTTTAGTGACAGTGCGGGGGTGGGCATTTAAGGGTGTGATTGAGGAGGGGCAGTGAGACTGAATAACTCCTGAAAGGATATTTTTGTTCCTTTTACTATTTTGCTTCTATGGGAGGAACAAGATTTCAAGGCTGGGAAAGATAATCACCCACAGCTTTGACATATGCTGCAGTCATTTTTAGCATGTCTAATTTGAAAGGGTGTAATCAAATCTGTCACTGTATTTTAAGCATGAAGTTCTTCAGAACAATCATTCCATTGTCCGAAGGCCATCGGAGCTTGTTTTGATAAGACCTTTTATTTGGAATAACGTATAAAATGTTTCTCTCCCCAGGAAGAAGAATGCCCGCAGTTTCTAAACCCTAACCCTCCAATAATACCTATGGAGTACCGAACAACGGTGTATTTTGAGGGAAGACATCTAGTTTATTATCGGGTAAGCAGATTAATTCAAAGCTAGCTGTCATTTGAATTCCACTTAAACTGCAGCCACACCCCTAAACTAAAGCATTAGTTTGTGTTCCTTGGAGATGCTGCTTATAATTGTTTTTAAAGAAGGAAAAGAGCTACACATTCAAGTTTGGTATAATATTGGTTACTGTGATAGACAGAATACCAAGACAGAATCAGAGCTGGACAAACTATTTTAACTACTAGATGTGGGGGGTTTTTTAAAAGAATGTAAGTTGGACCTACTACTAAACACTTGACAATTATTTTTCATCTAATGAAATGAGAGGAGATATAGGAATTGTGAATGTTTCATGTCTTTTTTCTAATTAAATACTCACTTTTTTTTGTTGTTCTAGAATGACATCACTCAGTGTGCTTAATTCAGTTTTCAATTTTCGAACAAAAGAATGCACTCAGAAATCAAATGTTTCTTAGTTTGGATAAAACAATCTTTTGCCTTTTTTTTTGTGTTGTGTGTGACTATCAAACCAGAAGATCAGGTATTTTCTCAGTTGTAGCAAAGGCCTCTCTTTCTCAGTACTTGCTTCCAGAAAGTAAATTACAAAGCTTCTAAGAAGCCAGAGTTTGACTCCAAGCTTTTGATTGTTTTATAACCTAGACAATGCCTAAAATGTTATTGTTAGTTTGATAAAAACGAAGCTTAAAAACCACTTCTTAGTTATTAGTTTTGTTCTTAGTTTCTATTGTTTGTTTCTGTGTTGTCTTTGTGTAAATGGAATTGATGATAGATACGCTGGAGATTGCATCGATTGCTTTAACCAGCCATCTATCAATATCAAGGGAAAGAAGGCTCTTGGGTTTTGAGGGTTTTTTTTCCTTTGCCAAATTGAAGTACTCTATAGCTTACAAAGTCCTTCTATCACCTCTGCTATGCCTGCCAAGGGATGGAAAAGGGTAAACAGATCTGGAGAGTAACAATGTAAGAAAGGTATTCAGAGAAGGGTAAAAAGCAGCCCGTAAGCACTACAATCATATGAAGACCATGCTGTGTATCACTACACTGTGCATACATCAAGACCATGCTATACAAACGTATGTTCAAAAATAAACATTTTTGCTTGAAGACCTTAAAATAAACAAAGAAAAGCAATTTGGTGATTTTGATCTGTTCTCTGAGATGCCAGGACTGGTCCCTGGTAGGATGTCTGGCAGTGTGCAAGGTGTGGGACACAACACTTGACATAAAGACCACAGCTCTCTTTGCTAAATATGGAAAAGAATTCCAGAGAATTTACTCACATTTCTTTTGTTTAGCATTGTGAAGAGCTGTTTTTCTGCACAAGAGGAAAATCTTTCCCTGCTCCCTTGATATAAGTGGAAGAGCCCATTCTCTCTCAAGAACAAATTCAGGGCAGATGCATAATCTAGATGCTGAATTTGACTTCTATAGGACCCTTTTCCTCCAAGGAGGAGAAACAGCAGCATGAATCCAAAAGCTCCTTCAGCTAGTTTATCATTCTGTGAATAAGCACTTTAATCTTTCTGAACTACCAGTAGAGGAAAGGGAAAAAAAATGCTTCTGCCTTTTTTTTTTTTTTCCTGTGAGGTATCAATTACATTTAACAAAGGCAGACACATCCTGTGGATTCAATGCTTTGTCATGGATAGCAGTGTTTAACAGTTTGCCTACAGACCAGACCTAGTATGCATTTATTTAACTTGAAAGTGGGAAGGCTTGTATGGAATTCAAGTCTCTGTAAGAAGAATGCATAGGCTCTAGGCCGGAAAGATGCTGGAGAGCAATGAGTGTCAAATGATGTCAGAATAATTTTTCTTAGGTGAGAACGATGTGGGAATGTCATCTCTGTCATGGGAGCAGCCCCATATATCCTGGTACAGAGGTTCATTTTTAAGCCAAATTAATAATGCCTTCAGTGCCAGGGCTTGAATAGGCACACACAGTTACTACAGCTGTATACACAGACCTCTAAGTGTATGTGAAAACAGACAAATAAGGCATGAAGTAGTTGTAATCATACAGGCACTCATGCCTGTGGGGTCATGCTATCTGAAGCAATAACTTGGTTACTGAAAGTTCATTTGAGTAAGGGCATAGCTTACACTCAGCCTTTGGTAAACATCTCATGGAGGGCAGGGTGGCTCAGGAGAAGCCATGGATGGATATTATGTAGAGGTTGGCCTGCAGCCCAAAGGCAAAATAGCATGTGGCTTCCCATGTGAAATGATTTTGCCACAGGATATGCTGGGCATTACAGTGTGTTTGGAGGTAGCAGTCATGAAGATATGAGGACATTAAAGGTCTCTATTGGTTAAACATTGGTATATATCCATTTTCCTCCTAGTTTCCTTGCCTAAATTCGTGCTTAGAAAAAGTTGATTAGCAAGAATGAATATTCTGTTGTCACTTTGAACTGCTAGCTCTATTATCTTGGTTTAATCTGTGCTTTGCTTAAAGGGTGACTAAGTGCACTAGCCAGTATCATGCATATAAGCACCTGTGTTTCTAGGTGGAGATTAGCAGTGAAGGTTTGGGCTTACCCAGTGAGTAGGAGATGTGGATGGCTTCTAAAACTGCTCTTGTAGAACTGAGGGTGGAAGAATAAGCTCACACTTTCTGTATGCACCTCTTAACTTGTGAACACTTACAGTACAATGAATAAATCTCCTCGTGAGGGCTTCCGCTGGAGGGAAATAGGCTAAAAGAGGAGAAGCTGTTGGCTGTTTTTCTGCCCCTCCTTCCTCTGAAAGAATTTCAGTCGGAAGGAGAAGTAAATCAAAGCTGTCGTTGTTCTCTTGGGAATAGTCTCATCCAGGATAAGCCCGTGAGAGGGAAGTTTAGTACTGATCAGTCATATTGCGTGCAACTTCTGAGAGGCATTCTCCAACCGAGTTCTTGAAAGACTGGCACAGTAGAAGAGACAGGTGTACCAGCATCAAGATAAGCTTATTAGCCCTCCAAAGATTTTTGTTGAAAAAGTAATTTCCCATTTGGGTTTGTCTTTGTCATGTGTGTCTGATATGTAACCCACTTCCCAGTGTTTGCTACATGTCTCTTCTTGCACCCAGACTGCTGAATGTGAGCTCTGTGGCCTTCTGCTCGAGAGCCTGGTATAGCAACTCCTGATTTCAGTTCGCTCCAGGTGGCAGCTGTCACGCACACCAAAGCTCCCCTCCTCTCCCAGCGCCTTCTGTTAAGCATGTGGGAAAGCCTTACGCAGCAGCAGCAGAATTTGAACACTTTTGAAAATGTCTCTTCTTGCACCCAGACTGCTGAATGTGAGCTCTGTGGCCTTCTGCTCGAGAGCCTGGTATAGCAACTCCTGATTTCAGTTCGCTCCAGGTGGCAGCTGTCACGCACACCAAAGCTCCCCTCCTCTCCCAGCGCCTTCTGTTAAGCATGTGGGAAAGCCTTACGCAGCAGCAGCAGAATTTGAACACTTTTGAAAAATATATG